CATATACATATATACATATATACATATATATATATATACGAGTAGGTTTGTGTATACGAAACGCAAAGAGTGCTCAATATCATAAAGATAGAGCAAATGTAGTATTTCGCTTACCTCAAAATTCCGCAACAGTCTGTTTCATCAGTAAAGAATCATCAGGCGGTATCTGATGAAACAGACTGTTGCGGAATTTTGAGGTAAGCGAAATTCTACATCTGCTCTATCTTTATGATATCGAGCACTCTTTGCGTTTCGTATGCACAAACCTACTCGTATATATATATATATATATATATATATATATATATATATATATATATATATATATATATATATATATATATATATATATATATATATATATATATATATTATACATATATATATATATATATATAGTTTTTCGTTTTACCTCAAAAAACCACAACAGTCTGTTTCATCCGTATAGGAATCATCAGGTGGTGAATAATTTCGAAATTGTAGGTTGCTTTTATGCTATCGAAAGAATGTGCGGAATGCGTGTAGGCGAAACAATGCTTAGGTGAAACAATGCATGCTTGGGTCATTAGGGTTTGTTAACGACCTTGTTTACTCGAAACCGGTTTTTGTGACGACATTTGCCGAAAATTTCGCTTCTTTTATTGAGTAAATTGTCTTTGTTTATGTCTTTCAAAATGCAAAATTTTTCTTCCAAACATAAATTGCAGCGTTTTGATCCCCTGTGTACGAAATAGCGTGTTTTAAAATTGACCATTTGATGGTATAATCCTGATTGTTTTCTTTTAATTTCCAAATATGTTTCGAAAGTTCCGTTTTGTTTGAGTCTTTTTTATGACGAAAAGATGAAGTGTGGTTAGCGTAACGTTCCTTAAATGTAGTCGCTGTCATACCAATGTAGTGTTTAGTGTCGTTCGTGTTGTTCGTTGTGACTGTGGCTTTGTAAATAAAGTTGTTGGTCATACATTGTTTCGGTAGTGGGCAAGTGTTTTTGTTGTCGCAGTTACAGTTGTCAGGCCCGTTTCATACGCCGTACTTCACATGTGCCGAATACATTAAAGACAATAGATAATGAGCTGAAATGCCTCATTATCTATTGTTTTTAATGTATTCGGCACATGTGAAGTACGGCGTATGAAACGGGCCTCAGTTTCCGTATTCTGTGATTGACTGTTCCTAATTATATGTGCGTTGTGTTTGGTGATTATAGACTTATTAACGTTGTTCATGCAACTGTAGCTTACTTTTAAAGTGTTTCTGTTAAAAATCTTGTGTAGTTTGTGCTGTAGTGGGAAGTAGTCTAGGACCTGTATATGAGTTTGTATGCATTTCATTTAGGACAGGTAATCTCAACTGTTTTAGGGTAAGTTGACCATGACGGTCAACATGGTAACGCTGCCCGAACCCCAATCCGGGGCGAAACGTCCGAAACTGACCACACCCAAAAACGATGCCTTCGCCATAGTGCTATCTACCAAACCATAAAAGCTTTGGCTATTCTGAGGTGCTTATATGGTTCAGAGATGGTACTTTTGGGGGTGGTCATTGGTAAGTGTGAAATGCCTAGCACTAATATTTCACAAGAAAATGGCCATGCAATAATCATAGTTAAACGTCAATTTGTGGCTTCCAAATTCTGATAAACAGCAGTGGACTTACATTACCTTTTTCCCTAAATCTTTTTGATAGAAACATAAATGGTACTTATTTAAATATATTATCACTGGTTTGGTGTTTCAACTTGGTGTTTGGTGTTTCAACAAGTTTCAACTTGGTTTCAAGTAGATCATACCTGTTTAACCATCGACAAGGTAAATCCACAACTTTGTCCAAATTCGGCGCCATTTTGTCATCCCATGTCGCTTGTTAACAATTCAGCCTTGTTACTCTTCCATCCAAGCCATTTCCATTCCACTAATAATAAATTTAACCCTTTATAACAGGAGGAAACTAAAAAATCTAAACAAAATATAAGAAATACGCCATTTTATCACCATGTAAAATTTTGCTCACGAGTCTTTCAAAACATTCCGTACAAATATCGCGTGACAAAGTAACAGGGACGTGACAGGAGGGGGTGAATTATTTCACGAAGATAGAAGGCTGCGTGAAATAGACTAAAAGCTAAATACAATCATACAAATGTTTGTTTTATTTCTTGTAGCGACAAATATATACATATTATTATTTATTAACATGAAAAAGTCATACAAATTAAATGTTGATTGTTGGTTTTACCATACTGTGTGGGCTTTCCTTTCATTTTTCAAGTCTCTACCCCCCCCTGTCACGTCCCTGTTGCTAAACCACGCGAGATTTGTACGAAATGTTTCGAAGGACTCGTAAACAACATTTTACAGGGTGATAAAATGGCGTATTTCTTGTATTTTGTTTAGATTTTTTAGTTTCCTCCTGCTATAATGGGTTAAATTTATTATTATTGGAATGGAAATGGCTTGGATGGAAGAGTAACAAGGCTGAATTGTTAACAAGCGACATGGGATGACAAAATGGCGCCGAATTTGGACAAAGTTGTGAATTTACCTTGTCGATGGTTAAACAGGTATGATCTACTTCAAACCAAGTTGAAACTTGTTTAAAATGTTCTTGATACCATTATGTATGAGATGATTTACATTTTTTGTAGGATGTCGACGAGATCGCCGATAAACAGCGGAGTAAAGTGGAGAACTTGGCCAAATACGTCCATTTGCAGGAGGTAGGCACATTTCGAATTATTATTTCGGTCAGAAAATATTAACTATTTTACTCCAAACCAGTGATAATATATTTAAATAAGTACCATTTATATTTCTATCAAAAAGATTTAGGGAAAAAGGTAATGTAAGTCCACTGCTGTTCATCTGAATTTGCAAGCCACAAATTGACGTTTAACTATGATTATTGCATGGCCATTTTCTTGTGAAATATTAGTGCTAGTCATTTCACACTTACCAATGATCACCCCCAAAAGTACCATCTCTGAACCATATAAGCACCTCAGAATAGCCAAAGCTTTTATGGTTTGGTAGATAGCAGTATGGCGAAAGCGTCGTTTTTGGGTGTGGTCAGTTTCGGACGTTTCGCCCCGGATTGGGGTTCGGGCAGCATTACCATGTTGACCGTCATGGTCAACTTACCCTAAAACAGTTGAGATTATCTGTCCTAAATGAAATGCATACAAACACATATACAGGTCCTCGACTACTCCCGATTTTAAACATTAATATGTCCGTGAATTTTCAAGTGAAATACAACTGTAATGTATCAAAATCTAAGTTAGTCCTTCTATTTGATGCAAGTTATTTCTTTTTAAAAGTTTTACTTGTTTAGAAGTTATATATATATATATATATATATTTGTATATTGAATAACCACTGCCTTAAATTTCAGAATCATCCTGGAGATACCAAAAACCAGGTTCATATTATTCTTATGAAACTAGTTTTTCGTTTCTCTCAGGATGGTTCTGAAATATAATTGAAACACTGCGCGTTGTCTAAGACAAGCGTTAAGTCGCCGCGAAAATATTTCGTGCACTTAAATTGGATAAAGACTCACTACCAATCCCCATTGACTTGATAGTTCAATGGGCAGAGCGGCGGTCTAGATACGTGAAGATGCGAGTTCAAATCCCGCTCGAGCCAACAAACTTTTCGTTGCTCTAATGCAGTGTCAAAATAGTATGAAACAGCCCTAAATTTTCTTTCAAAGTGCATGATTATTAAAATTGGCAATGGAAGTAATTAGTGCAATGGCATTAATTGTTATGTCCTTTTCTCTTATTCAGCCGATTGTGGTACCGGATGCGATAATGGTGGAAGCTGCACAGGACCTGGAACATGCAGCTGCAGAAGTGGTTGGACTGGAACCAAATGTCAATCAGGTAAAATGCGTTGCCTGGGCTTCAGTTACGCAATTGTACGTTAGGGAAAGCGTCTTTCTAGAGCATTTATCATAGCATTTCAGAGCAAGTTCCTTTCATCATTGAGAGGGTGGATTTGATTCGCGCCGCGTACACGTGACACTCATATGAAAAGAATTAGTTAACGCTCTACCAATAGTCATGGGTTTTCTTCGAGTACTCTGGTTCCCCCACAAAGAATGCTGAAAGGATGGGTTGGGATAATCCCCAAATATACCCTATTAGCGTAGCCTAGCTATGCTCCGTGGTCAAACGTTGGCGAAAAAGCGGCTACAAGGTAAGTAAAAAGGTGGCTCTGGAACTACCCTAACTTAGAATTTCTTCGACTTGATCAGGTTGAGATGCGTCGTTTGCAATCCATCTTAGTTCTCAGCTGCAAGTAAGGATGATTAACAAACACTTACCTTGTTATGGCCGGACATACAAACGGTTTACAAAATCTATTTTTTTTAATCTTATTCCATAAATCGTAATTTGTTTATTTCTATGCAGCTGATTGTGGTTCCGGATGCAAAAATGGTGGAAGCTGCACCGCACCTAAAAAATGTAGCTGTAAGAGTGGTTGGACAGGAAGCAGATGTGAATATGGTAAAAGTTGTTGCCGGGGCTTTGGTAGAGCAATTGTTAGAGCATGCGCCTTTCCATCGCTAAGTGGGTGGGTTTGATTTCGCCGCGGACACATAATACTTATCTGAAAAGAATTATTCAACGCTCTACCACAGAGTAGAAAATAGACCAGAAGTCGCACTGTGCACCTTTTCCTAACATTTTCGTGTCCGCGTTTTTTGCCTTGCGGATCACGAATTTCGCACGCCGGCTAGATGACGTGTGCGACACTTGCTGCGAACATCACGTCAGCGTTCGTCAGCGTCATTTTCTCAAATCAACGGTTTTTCTTGAAATTTGCAAAACATGCTGAAAGTGTAGGCTGCATATTCTGCAATAATTGTGCAAATATTTTAAGCTTTTGTTTTTTACGCCGTGTCTTCCTGTTGCGATAACCCATTATTTGGACCTGTGGCATTTAAAAACAGTTAAAACAGCAGTCTTTATTATACATATTGATGGCAATTGATGGCGTTGCTCGCGTTTGATGGCGTCGTGATTACACTTGCTGACTGGCGCTTGCGCATAAAAAATCTCGGACGTAATTTTGCTCAAGTGAGGCTTCTGGTCTATTTTCTATTTTGCGGCTCTACCGAAAGTTGTGTTTTTTGCGGGTACTCCGGTCCTCCCCACAGCGAATGGTAACGGAGTAGCTAGGATAAGCCCCAAATATTGACCCTATACTAACGTAGCTGTGCTTGCTTGCTCGATGACATATCAGGCTAATCTGTATTTCAGCGAATTGTCGTTAGGGTTTGTAAGGGATAAGGCGTAGATTTAAACATCTTACATGTAAGTCTTAGCTCATTGTTTCCTAAAATATGAACGTTCAAAATTATGAAAGTATTTAATAGGTCTTTACAAAGTTAAAGGTACATGAAAGACCATGCAAGCTAGGCAGGCGCTTAATTTTTTCTTAAATAGCCCGATATTTTATGTTTTTCATGGGTTCAAAACAGAGTTAATTATTTCTCGGCTAGAGCAGGATGAATATTATTCTTTAATGAAGGAAATAATATTGCTTTTTGCAAATACACATGCATCACAGTATCAACGCTAGTATTTTGTAACGGTTTGTTTCAAAAATGTTGCATGGATGTCTCTGGGGAGTTGCTTGTTATGTCCTATGGTTTGATCGTGTTTCATTCTCAGTTTATTCTGAACTTTCCAAGATTAAGAAAAGGCAAAAGAGTTTGGGTATTCTTAACAAGATTTCGGAACGTTGCAGAAGTTAGAAGAGCTTCACAATTCCATTGTGACAGCATGCCTTATAATTCAGAACTACGAATAATCCTTCGCGATGCAGTGCATGTCTCATGAAATAAGCTAGGAAACGTATATATTCGTGCTAGGAACACACGCGGATTTCGGACGAATAAATCGTCTTGTATTTTGTAGATAATAATACTTTGTTTCATAATAAACATTTT